TATACATTCTCTATGTGAATGTTACCTTTAAAGACAAACTAGATCATGGCTAATCATGCCACAAAGAACTCATTAAACTGTTTTTACTTCAGCCAGAGTGAATATTGATTGGAGGGGATTCCTCGTGTTCCCATATGATCCCTCCTGTTAATTTGCTCAGATTTTCTAAAAAAAAAAAAATGCAATTCACTAGTCACACTTTGAATCATATCACCTCAAGATTTTGGTTACTAAACTTTATCCTCTGTGTGTTAGTCTGCACAGAGATTTAGGTGTTTTGTTTTTGGTTTTGTTTTTAATTTTTAAAAGCCCTTAATGAGTATTCTAGTCAAACTTAGTTTTGTAAAGTGGTAAGAAAACAGCTAAAGCTGTATCAACACTACTAAGACTGAATTTTTGGGACAGCATTATTTTGGCTGACTTTCTAAAGAAGACACACGAGCTAAAGACATTTCTGGAATCAAATGAAAGCTTCTAGTATTGGCAGGCGCTACCAGTAAATACATTCCTAATCACTTGTTTTTGACAGGGGTATCTCTGAAATTCAACAAAAATGACCATTTGGAAGCTGTCATTAATTGGCAGGTCATCAAATAAAACTCATTCTCATTAATTTCATTTTGTTAAACTCATTTCCTCCCCGCAGTAGGAAGGGTCCGAGTGGGTGATAGAATTAGCATAGCAAAAAAGGTCACTTTCCCTTAACCCCATATGCGTAATCAATAATTAAGTTCCAGGGGCTCCTGGGTGGCGCAGTCGGTTAAGCGTCCGACTTCAGCCAGGTCACGATCTCGCGGTCCGTGAGTTCGAGCCCCGCGTCAGGCTCTGGGCTGATGGCTCGGAGCCTGGAGCCTGTTTCCGATTCTGTGTCTCCCTCTCTCTCTGCCCCTCCCCCGTTCATGCTCTGTCTCTCTCTGTCCCAAAAATAAATAAAACGTTGAAGAAAAAAAAAAATTTAATAATTAAGTTCCAGAGGATTCACAGTCATTATGTCAGTAGTTTGAGGTTTTCAAAGGATAATATGAAATGAACAGAAAACTAGTATTTTAATAAGCAGCTACTAATATGATAGATACTGAGTGAACTTTAGTATGAAGGAGACTCTAAAACCCCCAACCAATAATCTCATGGCAAAGTCATGTTGTGTCTTTATTTCCAAGAACTAAATTATTTAGCAAAAAACAAGGGAAACCAGTATATAGGAAGATGTATTATTTAGATAAAGCAGAAGCTGGGGAGTCTTTTCTGTGCCTTACAACTTAAGAAAAGAGTGCCCTGCCCTTGAGAAACCTTACTAAATACCATTAAATTAGCATTTTTCTCTGATGTTTGATAAAGTTTACACTTTGAAAATCATATATGCATTTTCACTTATACCAAAAAGAAATTAATTGGATTATGGTTCTTGAGCAGTGTTTTCCAGTCTGATAAACCTGAAGATATATTCAGCAAATGGCTCTAGAACCTCTATGAGCCCCAAAACATTTCTTTTGGGGCTACCTCCCTTACTCTTCTGGAGTAGTATTTCACGGGGAATAATCGGAAATGAGTGGAAAGACAGGAGTGGATAAAAGTAGAGGCACGTGTAGGTTTTCAGTACATGTTTGACTTTGCCCCTGGATGTGTAGGTATATCTACAGTTGCTAAACACTTGTACTAAATCTCCCGTACACCATCTTCCTGATCCGCATCCTGTCGGATCCATTGATGTTAATCAAAATTTAGCTTTCTGTAAGCTAAGGTGGGAGATAAATTCCTAGAAGCCTGATTTCAGAACCTTAGTGTGATTTCAGTGAGTTTAGATCTGTAGAAATAGACCATGATATGCAGCATGTAACCAGTGTGATGCTGATTGCCGTATTAAACATTTATTGAGCACTTGCGGTGTGAAAGAGATTGTTCTAACCAATTTTCATTTACTGTCTCATTTGAGTTCTCAAAACAACTCAGTGATCTAGGTACTATTATCTCTATTTTAGAGATGAGGCAACCGAGGCGGGAGAGGCTAACAAAGGAGCCCAGGGTCACACAGATACAAGCAGCAACACTCGGATTTGACCCACGCAAAATTGTTCAAGAGCGTGTTCTATCAACCACTATGACATATGACTTCCCAAGATTAGATACTCTGATATTTTTTAAATAAACTGATAGCTTCCCAAATAATTCCTGATCGATAAGATAGCATTCAGGAAATGTGTTCCTTTCATCACAAGCATTTCAAGAGCTAAATAAAATGCTGATAACATTGCTTCACCCATTACAATTTACCAAACTCAGGCAAGCTCATGAGTGTAAGACTCAGGTCTTTTTTTTAATAGGGGATCTTAAATATATTTCGTCAACAGTCTTAATTGTAATAAAATATGTTTGCCGTATTTATCTGATATTTAATTATTAAAGTTCATGTCAAAGTCTCCCATCTAGCCTACTCCTCAGGGAGACTGTTGGATTTGCTGATGAATAATTATAAGTTCCTTCATACAATCTAAGTACCAGTCGTTAACCTTTCTCAGATACAATGCTGTATATTTAATAAATATCAGTACTAATTTTTTTTTAATTTTTTTTTCAACGTTTATTTATTTTTGGGACAGAGAGAGACAGAGCATGAACGGGGGAGG